GTTCTCTGGGTACTCTGGTTTCCTCCCACAGACCAAAAACATGCATGAATGGGATGGATAGTTACTTAAGACTTTAAAAAAAGTCTTACTAAATGTCTTTACTAATGTATGTGAATGTTTTTGTACAGTGCTCTGAGACAACTTCTGTTGTGACTTGGCACTATTTAAATAAACTGAATTGTTAGTTATTAGAATATGTGTTTGGGATGACCCTCAGCTACTACCACACTAAGTTTGAGCTTATTATCTGTATAAGTGACTGAGTCACACACATTTTTCTGTTTGCAAAGTTGAATCAACTGTGGACATCTTGAATTAGGCTAACTGCAAAAGCTCATGGTTTGTAGATGTTCATTTAATGACTAGTTTCAGAGTGTTTCATTGGAATCTGCTCACTGGTTCACAAGATTATTTTGCTAACAGACAACCACACATAGAAGCACACAACTACATTGAGACTGTTCGCGTTTCAAGGCAGCAATTGATAACAAGCGTTAACAATGCAATCTGAAAACATGTCAGATCTTCAGTAGCAGCCAAGTTTTACTCGTCACTACATTTTCAGTTATCTTTATTTATTTTTATACCAACATGGGCACAGAGAGTCAGATTACTTTTGACTAAAATGGTCAGCTGTGTTCAAGGTGGAAAAGATTCGTCACATCAGTTTTCAGTCAAATTAAAAAAGGGACAGCCTCTGTGGCTGCACACTGAAATGTACGAACAGTCAATAACAAAAGCTCACCACACTCGATAAATCTTTATTTTCAAACCTAACCTTTCAGGACACTGGACACTTTCCCCACTGACCTGGCAGAGCCTTGGCCCACTTCACGGCAGAGATGACCTGCCGCCCCCCCAGCCTGTTGAGGGTGGTCATGAGGCGGGTGGAGGTGTCGGGGAGGGTGCTGTCATAACCCGCGTAGATGGTGTCTGGCTCGATGGCCTTCAGCAGGGACAGCATGGTGGGAACGAGCTGCGGCATGCACTTGGGGACGATGGACCGCGTCTCGACCGGCAGCGAAGGCAGCAGCTCAGGCGGCGTGCTGTTCTGACTGCCCTTTAGGCGATTCAACTTCTTGGTTTTACGAGCTTTCAGAACAGAAAAGAGGAATACAAAGGTGTTTATGTCAAAATAAGGAGTGAAGGAGAGGGAGAGTATCAGTTTGGCTTCCCTCGTACCTTCCAGGTTCATTCCTGCCATCAGACACTTGCGGAAGCGGCAGGCGGGGCAGTTCTTCCGCCTGATCTTGTCGATAATGCAGTCGTTCCTCCCAGCACACAGGTAATTATGTTGACCTGAGACACGCACACAAGAAAATGACCGATCAGCCAAATAACGACACATCATCACAACTTCAGTTGTTGCTTAAGTGTGTGAAAATTAGAAGAAAAATGACAAACAATGATGTCATATAGCTTTGCACCTTCCACAGCTCTCTTGAAGAAAACCTTGCAGCTGCCACAGGTGAGAACACCGTAATGGCAACCCGAAGCCTCATCAGAGCACACCAGACAGATTTTATGAGTGCCGCTCTTCCCCTGTGTGGATGCAGCAGTGGCCCCATCCTGTCTGAAGGCGGCATTAAAAAAAAGACAGAAAACAAAACAAGGATGTTTAGTTTTTGAATTAAAATCAATTCAACGACTGTTAAAAATTATTATGCAACCTTAGACTGAAGTGACATTTTCAATACTAAACCTTTAAATAAACAAGATACACAAAACATCACGAGTTTGATTTCCAGTCCTTTAAAGTTTTCATTATATTAAGATTTAGAAATGCAGCGGCTATCACTGAACTGCCCTCCATCATTTGGAAGAACCACAAGCGTTTGCAGCTCCAGAACAGTGAGGTGTGCACCGTTTCCAAACAGCCACTAGAGGATGTCGAGCATTGCTGCATTCATGCACCAAATGTCAACACCCCCCTTTCAAACCCTGTGGCTCCAGCGAAAACAACGCCCACACTGAGATAGAGCTGTAGACATGCATGTCCATGTGACCACACGTACGCCAGAACATTGAGATTTTTTTACCTGATAACTGCAGCTCAGAAAAGGCCCCGCACACCAAAGAATAAACTAACGTCAGGTGAAAAGTTCATTATGTGAAGTTATTAACAATAAAAGCAAACCAGGAGCCACAGATCAGCAGTTAGAGGCTGTAGCTGAATGGGAAATCCCGAACAACGCATGAAAGCGTGGAGTCCAGAAGTTAAACGACACCGGAGGCTCTTCAACCGCGGGAGCAGAGAGAGTTTTCTGAGCTCCACTGACAACACACCGTCTGTCCTAAAGGCAAATACGAGCGCTTGCTGAACAACACAGGAGAGTTTGGATTGTTCTGTGCAAATGAAGCTGTAACGTTTGAATTTTCACCAACACTGCTGTACAAGCTGCAAACGCTGAAAGCTGGGATTAATAATATATATATATATATATATAAAAACATGAAAAAATATACAAACTACACATAGTGCTCAGAATGCATCATAAAGAGGCTGTGATATTTTTTAAGAGAAGTTAACAACCCGAGTATAAAAATTTGATTCAACTTCTGGGATTCGTTGCGATCACAACAAAGCACTCGTCAAAACGGCTGCTCTTTTTGACGTCCAGAAAATATTTCTGTGTGGTTTTTTTCCTTTCCATCCTTACGAGTGCCATTAGCAGGAGCAGCAGGTATGCTTTTTCAGGCTCCACCAAAAATACTTGAAGAAAAAACAAAACAAAGCAAAGCGAACATGATCCAACCTGTTCTACAGCAAATACTGTGGCAAAGCGAACATGTAAGCAATAAAAAAAAAGAAGCTACAATTGAATTTGATTTTCCTCAACAGGAAGCGGTGACCAATAAATTAACTTCAAATTTATACATTTTGTAATTTCCACACTTTAGTTTAACCACTTGTATGAACACGGACTGATTTACAAATGTTTTTGGTTATCAAATTAAAGAAAATAAAGGTACTTGCACACATTTATTCAAGTTACTTGTAAGGTATGCTGTTCCAAGCAGTCAAAAAAAACAAAAAAAAACAGAGTTCTTTAGTGGAATGAGATTTCAAAGTTCACAATAAGTGCAGGCCAAGGAATTCATTTGAAGACTTCTTGTTTTTCTTGTCACTGAAGTTACTTCTGGAGACACTTTCAGGCTGCCTATTAAAGAGGCAGGGCTGTTGCCCCTTGAAATTCTTTAAAGGCAGCGCAGATGAGGAGGAGAAAAGCTGCTGTGGATCTGGGCCAGCACTGAATGTAGTGACTGAGCCAAACGGACATCTGTGTGTAAGGGAGAGACGGTGAAGTGCAGCACTAGGCATCTATGGGGTGGGCACAAACCTGCCTCTGTTTTGTCAGTGTTAAATGGTAAAGGCGGGTAATGGTGGCATAATGAAGGGGGGGGGGGGGGGTAACATTGCAGTGCATTTTTAAAGATTCAGCCTTTTAGGTTGCAGCTTCTAAGGCCCTGACCACATAGATTAAGTATTAAATGCAACAATGTTCAGTCAGGTCATCTGGGCGGTTTCTTTCTTTCTTCTTTTTCCTTAAAGAAACCGTCCAGATGACCTGACTGAACATTGTTGGATTTTTACCTGGATTAGTGAGCATGAACTTTGGTCTTTCTAAAATGATCTTTGATTTTTGTTATTTTAAAAAAGTTTTCTAGCAAAAACAGCAATGTTTCTAGAGCTGTTTTCATGTAAACAATGAATCGTCTTCATACAGCAAAGTTAGTCATGGAGTTCCTCAGGGTTCAGTGCTTGGACCAATATTCTTTACCTTTTATATGCCATTAGGTAATGTTATTAAACAGCATGGGACACATTTTCATTGTTATGCTGATGATACACAGTTATATTTGTCCATGAAACCCAATTAAACCAATCAGTTACTTAGACTAAAAACATGTCTTAAAGACATAAAAACCTGGATGACTCTTAATTTTCTGCTTTTAAACTCAGACAAGACTGAGGTTTTGGTTTTTGGCATACAATTTTCAGTCTTTCGCCCTCCTTGGATGGCATTAATCTGGCCTCTAGTTCCAATGTTAAAAATCTTGGTGTTATTTTTGACCAGGACATGTCTATTAGCCCCCACATTAAAAACATTACCAGAACCACCTTATTCCACCTGCACAATATCGCTAAAATTAGAAACATCTTATCTAAAAATGAGGCAGTAAAACTGGTTCATGCATTTGTCACATCTAGACTAGACTAGTGCAATGGTTTATTGTCTGGGTGTCCAAATATTTCTTTAAAAAGTCTTCAGTTGATCCAAAATGCTACTGCCAGAGTCTTAATGGGGAAGTGGTGGCGCAGAGGTTAGAAGATGGGCTTGTGATCGGAAAGTCGCAGGTTCAATTCCTGGTGCCGTCAACATCAAAATGTGGGTGGAAAAGGTAGAACACGCACACCTGCCTCCACCCTCATTCGCCCCACTCTGGGCCACCAAGCAAGGCCCTTAACCCCCACCATCTGCTCCCTAAACAGGTCTCTCTAGAAAATGAGTTCTCGTGGCTCAATGAGACTACCTGTATAAATAAAGGGTAAATGAAAAAAATAAAAAATAAAATTGGGAGTTAGTAGGTGAGATCATATCTCTCCAGTTTTAGCTTTTCTCCATTGACTCCCTGTCAAATTCAGAACTGAATTCAAAATCTTACTTATAACCTACAAAGCTCTCAACAACCTAGCTCTATATTATATTACAGATCTTATTGTTCCATATTTTCTTAACAGAGCACTTTGCTCTCAGACTGCAGGTTTACTTGTGGTTCCTAGAATTTTCAAAAACAGAATGGGTGGAAGATCTTTCAGTGATCAGGCTCCTCTCTTGTGGAACCAACTTCCAATTTCTGTCCATGAGGCTGACACATTGTCCAGTTTTAAGGCTTTCATTTTTGATAACTCCTATAGTTAGGGTTGGCTTGTTATGCTGCCATAGGCTTAGACTACTGGAGGACAAATTGACTTCATTTCTAAAAATGAATTGTTACAATTGAATAGTTTTCATTTGAAAAGTCTGAGATTAAGACTGAAAGCAGTCTGCTCCTCAGATAAATAATGTGATAAATTTACTTTTTTAACTATACATATATAGAAATAAAGATAATTTGTCCTACATCTATATGAATATTTCTGTTCAGTGCTCTGAGATGACTTCTGTTGTGACTTGGCACTATACAAATAACCTGAATTGAATTGAATCCACACAGGAACATCAAAAACTACTGTAAACACTGCAGTAACCATGCCAGGGCTGTATGTGGTGGTGTAACTCTGCCATGAAAATAAACAAAAACAGCAAGCAAGGCATGGAGCATGTGCATAAAGCCTGCATCCTTACTGAGTGCAAAATGCAAATATAAGAAAACGAAGACACCCTTGAAATATAGGTTAGGTTAGAGGTATGGCTGCGACATATTTTCAAATAGTGTTTCGGCTGTCCACAAAAATGCAACAGTGGCATTTTAAGATGTTTTCCTCTTTGAAAACTGTAAAAAAAAAAAAAAGAGTTTCTGGATGCATAAAACGTTGTTTCCATGCTGACACAAGGCTGAT